CAACGAAGAAATCCTTTTCTTGGTGGGGAAGGATGTGTGTGTGGCAAAATGGAAAGTACTAACAAGTAAAGTGTCGTTTATTTGTCTTACTTAAATTTTATCAAATAAGGGAAAGAAGTGAGTCTATTAGTAAAAAATTAGTAAAATCAGAGGATCCATATCATAATACATCTCCAGGTGTGCTTAAAACAACTTTGTGGTTAAATATGTTTTTATAAAGAGTGAAATTTTTTAATTTGTTTTTGAGACAGGGTCTCACTATGTAGTTCAGGCTGGTCTCAAGCTCACTTTGTAGCCCAGGCTGGTCTTGAATTTGAAATTATCCGCCTGCCTCAGCTTCCTGAATGCTGGCATTACAGGTGTGTGCCTCCACATCCCATTAAAAGAGTGAATTTTTTTCTTGAATCATAGATATGGGCTTTTTTTCCAGAAAAATTACAAAGAAACTACAAGTCATGCACGAATCCCCAACTATGTCTAAATATAAATATTTTCTCATTTAGCCCTGATTATAGTTCCATGAAAGATATTTTAACCCATTTTATGGGAACTGAGCTTTAGAAAGTTTAAGTGATAGCTTTTCAAAATTGTTTTACTTCAACCTACACTAAGAAATTACTTTATAACATGTAAACATGCCTTAAAGTTTCATGACATGATTCATGTACTTTGATATTTTTTGTTTCATTTATTTCACCTTAAAAATCATGTTTTGCCTTCTGCTAAACTGATTTTACAACCCACTAGTATGCTGCAATCTACAATTTGAAAAACATTAACTAAATTCTTATAAATGTTTAAAAGTATATGGTAAGTGGTAAAGCTAAGATTTAAACCTAATTTGTATTTTTTCCAGTAAATGAATGTCTGAGGTTTTTTTGTTTTGTTTTGTTTTTGTGGTGCTGGGGATTGAACCCAGTGTCTTGCTCATGTTGGGCAAGAGCTCATGCTGGGCAAGTGCTCTCTATGAACATTTCTAAAGAAATACTGTGAGGTTATCTGTCCATCTCACTACATAAAATGCTTATTAGCTTTATCTCATAGGATAGAATTGGTAGGATGAAGTAGATCTGCTGAGGAACAATAACATAAGAAAAAACACCTAGACAAACATAAGACATTAATTCTCCCATTGTGAATATAGCTTTTGTTTTACACTCTAAAGAAAACTGTTACAAAAATAAACAATAGCTTCATTTACTGGAGACCACAGACTAGACATAATTTGTTTTTAATAGTAAAAAAGATTATTTTAGTAAATCTATGTTAAGACTAAAAAGAGAAAAGGGGAAGGTATTGGGAATAGGTAACAGGAAACTGTTGTCAAGGAGGGAGGATTGGGAATGATAGAAGCAGAGTAGTTACTCCCCTAAAATCTTAGTCTGGCCTTTCCTCTAATATACCAAAAAGTGCTTGAACTATAGAGGAATTATTTGTTTCAGATTATAGCTTAAAAACGGGCTGGGGATTTAGCTCAGCGGCATAAACACCTTCCTTGCAAGCAGGCGGGCTTGAGTTCAATCCCTGGTACCGATAAAAATGAAAAAGACAAAAAAAAAAAGCATGAATTGCCGGGCATGGTGGTGTATATCTGTAATCCTGGCATTTGAGGCTGAAGCAGGATGATTGCTGCAAGTTCGAGGCCAGCCTGGGCTACATAGTGAGTTCAAGACTAGCCTAGACTTGTGAGACCCTGTCTCAAAAACAACAACAACAACAAAATAAAAATAAAGATAAAAACCAGCTAGATAAGGCAACTTTAAAACCTGCAAAATTTAAGAAAATCTCAAAATTATTCACTGGTCTGGTATTTCAAAGTAAACAGAGACATCTTTAACTATAGTCAAGGTGAGGACAGTAGTGCTTTTATCCTATTTCCAGTGGTTGATTTTCCCATTTGCCTATTGCTTTTAATCTGTCCGCATTCTGGCCCAGTCCCTCATCTCTGCCCTTATGGATAATGGCAACAGCTGCTGGTCGAGTTCCTTAGACTCCAGTTCTATATCTGTAGCCTCTAATGCAAATGTCATACCTTTAATTCATTTTTACTTTTTTGAGACATGGTCTTGCTATGTTATCTAGGCTGGTTTTAAGCTTGCTATGTAGCCCAGGCTAGCTTAAACTCTAGATCCTCCTGTTTTAGCCTTTTGAGTGCTAAGATTATAGGTATGCACCACTACACCTGGCTCATACATCCATGCTGTCAATCAACAGATAATGATTGGTGGTGTTCTACTAGTTTATTTCTATCTCTTTATACCCATCTCTTCTGGCTGACCTGCCTTTATTAGGCTATACTGCCGTGACACATCTCACAATCTTGCTTTTCCTGTAATGCTTTTATTTTATTTTTTGTCTTTTTGAGACAGGATCTTGCTATGTGGTTCAGGTTGGCCTTGAGCTCACTTTATAGCCCAGGCTGGTCTTGAACTTGCAACAATCTGCTTCTGCCTCAACCTCCCAAGTACTGGGATTACAGGTATGTGCACCAGGTGTGGTTTAATGCCTTTTTTTAAAAACTTCACATTAAAGAGGGGCTGGGGATTTAGCTCAGCGGCATAAGTACCTGCCTTGCAAGCAGGCGGTCGTGAGTTCGATCCCTGGTACCGATAAAAAAGAAAAAGACAAAAAACAAACAAACAAACAAACAAAAAAAACTTCACATTAAAGGTTTAACTCAATCCTGCCTTTTCCACAGAGCCTTCTGAAATTAGCCCAAATTGACGTCCTTTAATTTGTAGTTTTTTTCAGCAGTATGTCTTCTCATAACATAGCTCTTTTTACTGTATGCCTTGTGTTGTTTTGTCTTTGCTGTAGGGATTGGACTTGTCCAGTTGGCTGTCTTATTTTTACTGGAAAGTAGTCTCTGATCCCTGTCCTACTACTGTGTTGTTCCCCTGGGTTTCATGGCTTGTAGTGCTCACCACTCACATAGCTCATACTGTTACTTGTCTGTCAATGGAATGGATGAAGGCAGTCTAAGGAAGTCTGCTTCTAGCAAGTACCTAGCACTTTAAAAAAAGAAAAAAGGATAACACCAAAGCTGCATTAATGAACTACTTCTGACATTTTAGGAGAAAAATAAAATACATCATTAAGCTAAAACCTATATAAAGGATGTGCAACATGAGGTGAGAGAAGCCGGTTTATCCTGGGTGTTAATGCCAAGATCAGGACTGTGAAGAAGGTCAACCCAAAGAAGGAGTGAAAGACGTGGGACTCCTCAGTTAAACCTGGACTCTTTCTTTTTTCTGAATCCAGGGCCATGTAGTACATACCAGGTAAACATTGCTACTACTGAGCTATACCCCCAACCCAGTAAACCTGGATGGTGTGGGAGGGGTGGTTGGTATTGGGGATTGAAACCAGGGCTTTTGCAGTAAGCTACATCTGCAGCCCTGTCCTTAATTTTGAGACAGTCTCAGTAAGTCCCAGCTGGGCTGTAACTTTTTTTTTGAGACAGGCTCTCTCTATGCAGTTCAGGCTGGCCTTGAGCTCATTTTGTAGCCCAGGCTGGTCTCAAACTCACAAAGATCCTTCTGCCTCAGCCTTCCAAGTGCTGGGATTACAGGCACGAGCCACCATGCCCGGCTGGGTTTTAACTTTTGGTCCTCCCAAATTCTGGCATTGTAGGTGTTCACTACCATACCCTGTTTAAACCTGAGTCCTTAAAGGGGCCAACACAGCCCCAGGTCAGCACCACTTGGTCCTTGGCATAAGCAAATGCAAATCTTCCGTGAAGGAAAATAGCTCAGTTTAGCTCTTCAAGATTTCTGTAGATCAAGTTTAACAAAATACGAGTTCAAAATGTGAAAATAAAAAATTTACAAGGAAACAAGCTACCACTGGCAGGAGTCAGCACAAAACAGCAAAAACATATATAGACTGTTAAGATACGTAATATAAAATAATCTCAACACATTTCAAAAGAATTGGTATCACAGACATCATAGGCTCTAAATACAAATGATTAAAATGATAAAACTTTAGTTTCTAGACATTTGGAAAGTTATAAAACTTTTCTAAACAGGGCCAGGTGTGGTGTCATGGGCCTGTCCTCCTAGACTGGAAGCTGAGGCAGCAGAGTCAAGAGTTCAAGGCCAGCCTGGGCTACAAGGCAAGATCCTGTCTTAACCACCTCTCCCCCTCCCCAAAGAACACTTTTCTAAATGATTTAAGAGCTGTGGGACATGGTGGCACGTACCTGAAATCCCAGCATTTAGGAGGCTGAGGCAAGGGATCACCATGAGATGAAGGCTGGCCTGGGATACGTAGTGAGTTCAAGGGCAGCTTGAACTACATAGTGAAACTGTCTCAAAAAACCAAAACCCAACGAACAAAAAAGTTCATGAGGGGCTATGGGGAAGTGTGTGGCTCAGTGGAAAGAGTGTGAGGTCCTGAGTTTGATGCTCAGTATCAAACACAGAAAAAAAAAATTTATGAGTCAAAAGTCTCAAAAGAAGCCAGATGTGGTGATACATTCCGGTAATCTCACCACTGTGGGAGGCTGAGGCAGAAAAATCACAAATTCAAACCCAGCCTGGGCAATGTAGTAGATTAGTGAGATCCTGTTTCAAATTTTAAAAGGGTTGGGAAAATGTAGCTCAGTGTCAAGGCTCTGGGTTCAATACCCAGCAGTGCAAAAACAAGTCTCAAAGATAATTTAAATACGTTTGGAGCTAAACCATAATGAAAATACTGTATAACCCTGAAAAACTTGTGGTATGTAAAGAAGTGTGGTGTGGTGGTGCATATGTGTAATGCTAGCTCTGTGGGAGGCCAAGTCAAGTGGACAGCAAATTTGAGCCCTTCCTGGGCAACTCAGTGATTTAGCAAGACCCTGTCTGGAAATAAAAAGGCTGTAGCTCAGTACAAAGGTTTTGAGTTCAACCACTAGTACTGAGGGGAAAAAAGAAGGAAAGAGGGAAGAAGAAAGCCCAAATAGTCTGAAGTTATAAAGAAACTGGACCAGTAGTAAAAATGATTCCCACAAAGATATATCAGGTTCAGATGGTTTTACAAGTTAAGTTTTACCAGATATTCAAGAAACAGTTCATTTCACTCCGATGTAAACTCTTCTAGAGGATAAGACAAGAGAGAATAGTTCCCAACTCAAGCGTATACAGACTAACAGGACCATCCTAGAAACTTTTTTAGAAATCTTACTAAAAACAAAGGCACTAACATGTACAAGAATGTTCACAGCAGCATTGGTTTTTTTTTTTTTCCGTCTTTTTCCTTTTTATCGGTACCGGGGATCGAACTCACGACTGCCTGTTTGCAAGGCAGGTGCTTATGTTGCTAAGCTAAATCCCCAGCCCCAACAGCAGCATTATTTGTAATAGTGAAAAACAAAACAGCCCAAATATCCATTGATAGGTGAATGGCCAAATAATTTGTGGTTTATGTACTTTACAGAATATTACACAGACAAAAATTAATGATTCATAGCTATTACACCTGCATGGATGAGTCTTAGAAACAATGGTAAGTGCAAAAAAACAACCTTCAAGGGGCTAGTAATGTATAATACTTTGAAAAGCCAGAAAACAAGCAAAACCAAACAATACATTTTAAAGTATACATATATGATTAATATATAAATATATATACACACACACGTCATTAATAAATGTAAAGTTAAGGACAGTTGATACCTTTAAGAGCAGCAAGGGGAAAGGATAGGGAGGAACACAATGGTATTTCTAGTTTTAATGTATAAACTGAGTGATAGTCATAGGTGCTTATTATTTTCACAATTCATGTCATACTTTATAGATATTATGTTGTAATTTTTTAAAAAACTGTGGTAGTGGAAATAAATGGACAAATGAATGATATCTCCCTGAAGGAAAAATATGTTTCTTGGGAAGAGCCAAGATTCCCTGACTTAAGCTACCTTAAAGTAGGTCCTCAATAAATATGACTTTGTTTACTGTTTTTCCCAAGGACACCGGGGAGTAAATCTCCTTCTCACCGGGACTCCCTGACTCCAGAGCTACATTTGGCCTTTACCCCACAGTCCTGGCTAGGTCCTGACACATGTATGACAAGAGACTGACACCTGGTAGATACAGAGTGAATTTAAAGAAATGCCTAGACAGGAAGTCTTTCACTCTAGGTGGTGGGAGTGGCGGTAGATTGGGGGATAGGGAAGCAAGAATGAAAATGAAGTGACAACTCAAACAGGAAAAGGAAGAAGCTCCATGTCTGAGATGTAGGTGGCAAAAAGGGTTTTCAGCTAAGCTAAATGGAGAGACCCTGAAAAGAAAATGACTTCCCTCTTCTTCCTTGAAATCAGAACAGAACAAGAGGAAAGAAATAACAGCTGCAGTATGGGAAATGCAAGGCTGAGGAAAAAGGAAGCAGGCTGAGCTGATCTCAGCCAAGCAATGTAGAACCACATGTATTCCTTAGCTGTAGTGAGGAGTCAGCACCTCCCAACAAATCTGGGGCCTGGTCTCCATTTGGGGAATCTGTGAGGCCTTCAGTCCCCATCTTTTCCTCAAAAGGGTGGTGGTCCATGATGTAGAACAAGTATATTAGCATCCCATTTTCCTGGCTACCTGGTTGGTCAGGGTGAACATGACCCAGGCTGGCCTAATCACAGTGGGTCTTCAGACCTGCTAGGATGTCTAGATATATATAATTGGACAAATGTGTAATCCAGAAGTGCTGGCACCTCTGAGGTGGTTTTAATTAGGTGAAACAGTGAGACTAAAAATCAATTAGGTACCTAGAATCATTCTGAATGTTGAATCAAGCTTCACCTGGAGCCAGCACTACTTGTGGCCTTTAGGTCACACAACAGTACATCCTTTTTATCCTTGTACATCCTTTTTATCCTTGTACTGATGTATCCAACAGTACATCCTTTAAGCCATTCTGAGTTAGGTTTTCTATGATTGAAAACCAGAAGACCCCTAACCTGTAACGTCATTCTTACTCTGTCCCTACCGTCCCACAGGAGGGCACAGGGATTCAGGTTAGGTTACTATGGATTTATTAGTTACACCAAAGCCAAAGTATTGAGCTGGGAAGGTCAGAGCCAGCCACCAGGCACTATGTAAGACTGGATGACTCAGCAGTCTGTACAGAGAATGGACTTCCATAAGGAAGGAATAGCCAAATGAGAAGCAAGTGCAGATAAAAGCCTCCAACAGGCAGTCAAGTGGTTAACATATGGATATGGACACTCCCATGGAGCTGCTTGTCATGGGGGTGTTGCCTTAGGGTCTTTATACTCCTGAGTTAAGGAACTTTGAAGCATATGTCCCTTTAAGCCTTTATTACCCTGTGCTGCAGTGTCTGCCCCTCCCTTGGCCACCTGAAGAGTTTCCTTTTGACTTCTACTGACCTTGATGACACTCACTTTGGGGGCGGTGAGAGGAATTTTATCTTCTGCTTCTTTGGCTTGTCGAAAACTAGGGCCCCTTCCTCCTTTACAAACAGCACCATCATCCTGACCGTGGGCTAGTACTGCCCCCTGCTCAGCCTCTTGCTCTGGCCCTGCCTTTTTTACCCCTCCAGCTGAGTTGCTTTCCCCTCCTAGCCCCCAGGTCTCCCATGGTAACTTTGAGGGCTGGGCAGAGTCCATGGCTGTTGCTGACTTCTCAGGGGTAGAATTTCTTTCCCCACTTCCACCTGACTTTTTTCGGGGGCGCCCTCGTTTTCTTTTGGCATCACTTGTTGGATCCTCTGCATCCTGCTTTGCTGCTTTCGCTGGCAGGTCCTGGCCACTGGCCTCACTCACAGGTACTTCCGCTGTCCTCTTGACACTCTTGTCATGGGATCCTGGGTCAGCACCTATGCCTACTTCCCTGTTCTGTGTGGCCCGGGGCTGAGTTAGTCCTCCAGGTGGAGCTCGCCCTGGTCTTGGTCCTGGTCCTGGTCCTGGTCCTGGTCCTGGTCCTGGCCCTGGCCCTGGCCCAGGCCCAGGTCCAGGCCCAGGCAAAGCAGGAACAGTTGGTAAGATCATGTTAATGATGGGCATAGCTGCCTGGGGTCCCCCAGCCCTATTGGGCAGAGGCAGTGTAGCCACTTTCAGGGTGCCTGAAGGAAGCTTTGGGGCCAGGATAGGTGAAGTAACTTGGATTGGTGGAATAAGTGAGCGAGGGGCTCGGGGAAGAAGAAGAGGCAGCCGGGCCACTAGGGCATTAACCTGTGGGTTACTGGCTGCGGGAACTGAGCTCTCAATTACACTTTTCTTCCGCTCTCCACGTGCAGAAGGGCTAGCACTAGCCCGGGCTTCTGACTCCTTAGGAGGCTAAAAAAGAAAGAGGATCACAGTAAGGTGTGAAGACTGTGTATCCAAAGAAACAGACATGAGAGGCATAAGAGACAAGAAAGGGGACCCACCAGTGGAAGGGTATACTAAGCCTGTGGCCAGGTGCAGTCAAGAGATCAGGATCCTTACCTGGGCTGGTCTCTCAGGTTTCTTGTGAGTTCCCCCCTCTAGGTTCTCTACACCATTCTTGGACTTAGATGACCGTTCTCGAGGGGCATGTTCATCCTCTTCTGCAGAGGTGCCAGAAAAGGTAACAGTGAGGGTGAGGGGAAATTGAGAAATGGAGAAGTGAGGTAACTGTAACTGCCAGGCTGCTAGGACAGTTAGGGAAGGGTCTCCAGGAATAGAAGGTGATTCCAAGGTGAAAGCTGAAAGGGCCTGAGCATTTCTCAGACATAAGAGAGGAACCACCCACCAGCAAGCCCCATGGCCTTAAGCACATGGGCATGTGCAGATCGGGCGGAGATGAGATGCTGTTGCAGCAGGAAGCGGGCAACCTCTACGATGGAACTAAAGGACCGTTTCAGGATTCGTTCTGCCCAGTCACAGGTCAGAGCACAGGCTGCCTCTACCAGTTCATCCCGAGGTGCTGGGGTTACTTCTGGGCCCATTTCTGGCTGTGGTGGGAGAAAGACATGTCCAATCATACCCCTATCAAACTAAAAACTCCCCTCCTCCACTACTATCATGATGGTCAAAGCAGAGGCCAGGCAGGAGATGGAAACAGTCTCTAACCAGACCAGTCCCAACCTAGAAACCCTCAAACTCTTTTTCCTCTGCTTTGGCCACAGTATAGACAGAAAGGCACATAGGATACACAGACTGTGTATAACTAGACTGTGTCAGCTGTAAAATATGTCCCATATACCCCTGACTTTTATCTGAGAGCAAAGATGGAGCTGGAGGGTTGCTACTTACACTCTCAGAACTCTTTAAGTCAAGTCCAGGCAGGGGCGGCATAGATACCAACGTCTTCCTTCGTATGCCACTGTAGCAGTATCTGACACAAGTTAAGGAGTTGCCAATACTCGGGCCTTCCAAACCCTTGAGCCAGGTTAGGCTATTTCTACTCCTGGCCCTCTGCATCCTATGTCTTGCTACCCAGATCCTCTAGCCCCAGCCTCTCCAGTCAAGGATACTTGGACTGGCCGCGGCCACCAAGCCTTCGGGCCTTGATGTCAGGGAAGATCTCTCTGATGATTTTGCCAAAGTTGGCTGTACTGAGTGGGCGGCAACAGGCAAGACTCTCACAGTACTTCCTGAATGAGTGAGAGGCAGAGGGAAGACAGAAGAAACACTATGGCTGGCTTCAGAGGGTTCCCAGGGATCAAGTGTGGGGAACTGTTTAAAAAGACAGGCTCTAAGATGGGCACAGCAGTGCATGCCTATAATCCTAGCAATCTGAGAGGCTGAGGCAGAAGGATCACAAGTTGTGCAAGCCTAGGCAATTTAGTGACCCTGTTTCAATATGAAAAATAAGAAAGGGCTGGGGGAGTAGCTCAATATGGATTCCCCGGATTCAGTCCAGAGTAGCAAAATCAAAAAAAAGGCTCTACCAAGGCAAGGAGCTCTGCAGGGATAAGGGACTAGACCCACCAACTCAAGCACCCACCCTTCACCCACCGATAAGCATCATAAACACTCTGCTTTGGCAGACAGGTGTCCGTGTGCTCTTCTAGGTGGTTACGGATCCACCTATAGGCATACATGTACTCCTCACTGCTGAGTGTGCTTGGCTCTGAGCTGAAAGGGAAGTAAAGAGGACAAGCATTACTGAGACCTTAACAATTATCCTACTTCTTCAGGCTACCACTTAGTGCTGGACCAAATCAGTTCACACAGAATCTACCTGCTAAACTAAGCTGGGACACAGCCTTTCTTCTTGACCCAGGAAATAGCTATGAGTTTTCCTACTATCTCACCCTTTCCAGTGACATGGTCTCTAAGCCTCCAGACCTCTGATATTTAAAGCTCTGCCACCAAACCTACCTTTTGTCTCCAGTGCTGGGCCCTGAGGGGAGCTGAAGATAGAGATACAGCTTGTCGTTGTCTGAGAATTTCTGTACATCTTGCTGAGGTAAGAAGGAACAGAGGCAGGAGACATAATAAGGTCAAGAAAGACCTAAATGGGGGCTGGGGATTTAGCTCAGAGGCATAAGCGCCTGCCTGGCAAGCACAAGGTCCTGAATTTAATTCCCAGTACCAAAAAAAAAAAAAAAAAAAGAAGAAGAAGAAAAGGAACTATGGATTATCTGATTTGTACACAAAATCCAGCTGAACTTTGAGGTTCTCAGATTGAAAATGGACCTTAAAAATAATTTGAGGCTGGGCGTGGTGGTGCATGCCTGTAATCCGAGCACTTGGGAAGTTGAGGCAGGAGGACCACCACAGGTTCAAGGCCAGTCTGGGCCACATGGTGAATTCAAGGATTCAAGACCAGCTTGAACTACTTAGGGAGACCCTGTTTCAAAAAAAAAAAAAAAAAAAAAAAAAAAAAAAAAAAAAAAGAGAGATTTGAGGCTGAAGCTACAGCTCAGTAGTAGAGCACTTGCCTAGTATGCACTAGGTCCAGGGTTCTGTCCCCATGGGCTACCATGAAGGAAGGGGGAGCAGAGGGATCACCTTCAGCTGTACTGGGTTGCTATTCAGAAGCCTCGGAGAGTTGGAGTAAGAAGTTGGGAGCAAATTGTAAAGTTAATGATTTTTTTTTCCTATATAGTACTGGGGATTGAATCCAGGGCCCTTGTACTGAGCTACCTCCTGAGCCCTTTTGATTTATCTCAAGACAAGATCTCAGTAAGTTGTCCAGGACAGGCTTGAGTTGTTATTCCTCCTGACACCCAGTCAAAAGCCAACTATCTTTTGACAAGAGTGCATCTCCCATATAAACCTTCATTTACCCACATCATCCCCACCATCCCTATCCCCGACCAGTGCCATCATTTTACTGCCCTCTTCCCAAGGTGCTTACCAGAATTCCTTCTACTTTGTTCTGTACGGCCTTGCTGTGGACAAGAGAAAGCTGGAGGTCACACACAAGGTTTGCTCAGCCCTTTTTGAGTTGCTGTGTGTGTATGCTAAAATGCCTAGGAGGGCCTTAAGAATTGCTACAGAAGGAATCCCCCTCTGCTCTAAGGTACTTGGCTGTGGAGAGGCAGCGCATCTTCAGAGGAAGTGAAGTGGTATTGGGAACTATACAGAGGTTTGGAACTGGATTTGGAGGTGGTGACAGGTACTTACGAAATGGTACCTCGGAGCCTTTGAATAAGAGTGGTAGGTTCTCCAGCCTCAGCCCCACTTTGTGGGGCCCTTGCCCCGGTCTTGGGGCTTTTAGCATCAGGCTCATCTTCTGCCATCCCAGCATGGGGCTAGAGCTGAGAGAGGACAGAGCATGAAGATGTAATGAACTATAGTCTTCTTCCAAGACCTCAGCGCGGCTCTCATCTCTCTACCCAGAAAGACAGAGAAACAGACACAAAGCCACCAAATCTTCCCAGTGATCTTTTTCTCACTACTTTTGTCTTCTGCAAAGATTAGAAATAATTCTATTTCACCAGGCCCATTATACCCAAAGAGATCTCTGCCATCTCCATACTATCTGCCCCAGCTTTCTGAAGTCTCCCAAATGTAAAGGAAGAGAAGGGGGACTGTACATCTACGTTAGACATGTTCATTTCTCCTCTGACCCCCACGCTGCTCCCCCAAACAACAAACACAAAACAAAGTTCTCTAAATCTCAAATATATTCATCATGATTTCGCCTGGCAGGTCAGGAAGGAGAGAAAGCATGGCTTTCCACGCTTGGGGTGGACACCAGGCCCAAATCGACAGGACTTAATGTCGCCAGGCCTCCCGGCCGCCCCCTCCTCACAGCACCGCCCCCTCCTCACAGCACCGCCCCCTCCTCACGGCGCCGCCTACGTCATCACCTACAGCAGCCCATCCCGACGCGTGCCCCCACCTCTCCCAGCCCCCAGCCCTTCAATCCCTGACTGCTTCTTGGGGGATTCGGGCCGCGGAACTACTGGGCTGGACGAAGGGAACCCGGCAGGGAGAAAGAGGTCCTAGATTCGGGGCACGTGCACATTGGTGAAGCAGCCGTTGAAAATACTGCCGGCATCTTTTTCTGCTCGCTTCCCATCTCAGATCGCCCCATCCCTACCTCTGAACAGTCGCCTTCCAACACAAGCACAAATAAAGGTAAGGGAGAAAGAGAAACTACCTCGTAGCCACCTTCACTCCAGCCCAGCCCTACGGTCCCGGCCCAGAGGGCTCCTGCGTTGCTTTATTTTCCTTTTTCTGAATGGCTGTAGTCGCCGCGATTTGCCTGGATACACGGACGACCTACTTGGTGATTGGTTGTTACTGCTACCCGGAGACCGAAGGCGCCGGGCTCACACAGGCGGCTGCTGAAGTCTGCCTGGTAACAGAATATGATTGGTTTATAGGGGAGGGAAAATCCAAAGTTGGTTTTATTTGAGTCAAGAGGGGGAAGTCCGTTTAGGTTTCAGTTAAAAGTGGGGTCGGTAGGGACTGCGGGTCCCAAGAGGTTCTTCTCTTAAAGGGACCGCAGGACGCAAACCCTTGCTTGGCAGCTAGCGGAACTTTCTTGTCTTTGTCTTGTGCCCTCTCCTCAGGTTTCAGTTTGGCCTTAGCGCGTCAACGTTGTTGGAAGAAAAGAATCAGTGGATAATAAAATAATTAGGGAGTCATGGGTGGTAGCGATGGAAATTCACTATAAACTCATTTAACTTCCTTTTGATGTAAAACAAATTGAACCATCTCGCCCCTCCCAACGGAACGCAGGGAACCTTGGACACGACCAATAGGCAAACAGGCTGCTTTCCTTCTCAGTGGAGACCTCAGGACCTTAGCAGCTGCACCACATTAAGCCAAAACGCCTTTCCCTCTTAGCGTTCCTCGGTTTTCCGTGGGAGCTTTATCGCCTCCCAAGGTGTCGCGAGTGCACCCCCTAGTCCCATTCTGCACTTGGTGGACGCTGGAATTTTGACTCATTGATTCCCGTAGGTGGTGCTGGACTCAATCCGGAAGCTCTCAGAGAAAGCAGAGGTCTTGGGTTCTCAACTCTCTTAGGACTTTTTAGAACATGAATTCGATAAAAGCAGTGGACGCTTTGCCATGAAAAAGATGCACCTGTAGATGAAGTTTGGCATCTGATTTCAAGAAGGCCGTGGACTCCAGATTGATACTCCCCGCAGTACTGAGGATTGAACCTATACTTCGCACTGAGCTATGTTCCCCAACCGTTTCTTTCCCTGCATCAGCCTCCCAGAACGAGGGATTACATGCATGCACCGCTGTGCCTCAGCTGACACCCTCTTAAATGGATAAATATATTTATTTTGTTTCACATAGTAGAGATGTTATACGCAAATCATGCAGTCCTGACTTCTCCAGGCTCTTTGTCAACAATGTGGTTTTTGTAAAGGCAGCCACGGATGTCTAATCTCATCATCATTTATAGCCTCCATTTCTGAGCTAACCACCATTGTGGGTCTTGGGAAACCCAGAATATTGTCTGGGAGAACAAGAGTAAACTGGGAAGGTTTTCTAGTAACAGCTAAAATGTGTTCGGTCTTGATTGTGTGTCAGATGTCATACCAAACACTAGACACCTCGTGTGATGCACACAGGTGCAGGTACTGGTACTGTTACTCTCTCCATTTTACAGAGGCTGAGATGAAAGGGGGACGGCTAGTCCACAGTCACAGGTGCAGAACTCTGACCAGCAATTTCTTTCAGAGCCCATCTGCTGAACAGGGCCTCAGACTGTATTTACATATTTGCAGTGCTTCTGTGTGAATGGGTAGTGGCTAGTGAACCCCCAAACCCAGACACCTGTGTGAAGGGTAATCGAAGATGTTGAACTGAGATAAATTTTGCTGCTTAAACATTTTGGAAGAAACAGAGACTAATTGAAAGTTTAAGAAGAGAAAGTATCATAGCTATGTAAGATTATTTTGACAGCATTGTGGAAGGTGAGTTAAGTGGGGGGAAAAGCCAGAGATGGGCAAACCACAGAACTATTCATTCATGCCAGGTAATTTGCTAAGAGCTGGGGATATGATGCTGAATAAGGCACCATCCTTACCCTGAAAAGTAAAAATAAGTATTATCTGCACTTTGGGAGGCCGAGGCAAGAGTATTGAAAGTTTGAATCTTGCCTGGGCAACTTTATGGACAATTTAGTCAGACCCTGTCTCAAAATAACAAATAAAAAAGGATTGGAGATACAGTTTATTACAACAGCCGTGGGTTCAATCCCTAGTACTACTAGTCTAATATTTATTATAACAACAAATATTTATTTAGAACTTAATATGTACTGGGGACAGTACTAAGAGTTTCATATATGTTACCTACTTACCTCAACGACTCTCTTAAAAAGATATTCTGATTACCCTGTTTTACAAATGAGACTGGAACATTAAGAGGTTAATAGTTTGCCCCAGGTTATTGGGCAAGCTACAGTTGAACATTTGAGTTGTTTCAGTTTTTGCTAATGTGAGCCCAGAGACTGTAAACTATAATACTTGTCTTTATGCCTAAAAGTAGGATTGCTGAGACATCCAGAATTTGAATCTTGGCTGTCTAGATTCAGAATTTATATGTAAGCACTATTTTATAATAGCTATTAATACTGGAAGTTAATATTAAACACAAAAATGTGAGCCAAAAAAGAAAATATTGATTAAATTCAGAGACATTAATATTAAAACTTAATTTTAAAAATCACTACAAGGCTAGGTATGATGGCACACACTTATAATCTCAGGAGGTTGAGACAGGAGCATCTATGAGAATTTGAGGCCAACTTAAACTACATAGTGAACTTAAGACCAGTCTGAGTTACATGGAAAGACCCTGTCTCAAGCCAAACCAAACCAAACAAAAAGACACAAAAATAACTATAAGAGGAATACAAAGACAAGGTTAATTTTTTTTTTTTTTTTTTTTTTTTTGGTACTGGGAATCAAACTCAGGATCTTGGGGCCGGGGATTTAGCTCAGTGGCATAAGTGCCTGCCTGGTAAGTGCAAGGTGATGAGTTCAATCCCTGGTACCAAAAAAACCCCAAAACTCAGGATCTTGTGCTTGCCAGGCAGGTGCCACACTGCCGAGCTATACCCCTGGCCCTAAAGACAATGTAATAAATAAGATATCTTGGTATATAACTGACACAGAATTGCTATCTGGAATTTATAAAGACCTATAAATAAAAAAAGGTAGCCAAATTTTATTTTTTATTTTATTTATTTTGATAGCCAAATTTTAAAAACATGGGCAGAAAAAACAGGAATTTCATAAAAGAAGCAGAAGTGGCTCATAAACATAGGAGAAGTTATTTACTATAATAACCAGGAAAATGGAAATTAAAACAATAAAATCATTTTACACACAGTAAATTGGCAAAATTTTAAATTAGGCAACATTGAGGGTTGGTGTCACTGCAGACTGACAAGAGCCTGCATCTACTGCTATGGGAGTGGTATTTAAAAAAAGACGATATTATTTGCTGAAGTTGAATAGGTATTTCAGTATATATGAATGTCTCAGCAATCCTACTCGTATGCATATACCCTAAAGACACAGGTAGCAATGTTCATAATCTCTGTGCTTGCACTAGCAAAAACTGGAAACAGCCCAAATGTTCAACAGTAACCTGGTAAGTTGTGTTGTTTTCATATGAGAGGATGTCATAGAGCAGTGGAAAGGAATGAGCTATAGCCGCCGTACACAGCCACAGAGAGGAGCTTCAGAAACAGAAAGAGCTCAGAAGAACCCATACAGTATGCCAGATGTGGTAGTGCATCCCTAGAAGCCAAGCTATGCAAGAGGCTGAGGCGGGAGGATGAAAAATTTGAGGCTAGCTGGACCAATTTAGTAAGACCCTGTCTCAAAATAAAAAATAAAAAAGATTGGGATTATGCCTCAAGGTAGAGCACTCCTGAATTTAATCCCTAATATCACTCCCTGCCTCCAAAAAGCATATGGTGTAGTGTATTTTATAAATACTTAATGCTAAGGGAAATAGAACCATATATTATTTGTGGATAAATACATATGTGATTAAAAGTGAAGTAATGAAAAGCAGATAATTATTGTGATAAAATTAAGGATAGAAATTAGTTACAGTGGGCAAGGGAAAGTAGATTTGGGAATAGTTGTTCCAAGTTGATATCTTCCATGGTGAGTGTCTAATTTAACTTGTTTCCCAAATGGATAACCAGTCACTTCAATACATTTGTCATCTCCTTCTTATAAGTAAGTTTTCTTCTATTTCTTTTTGTTGTTGCACATTTTGCTTTTGTTTTTTGTATTAGACTGATCTTGAACTCTTGGAGATCCACTTGGCTCACTTTCCCAAGGACTGGGATTATAGGGATGTTTACCACACACTCAGCTCTGTTTTCTAGCGTATCTCCTAACCTTTCTTCCCGCCCATACTCTTATTTATTTATTTATTTATTTCTGGCACTGGGGATTGAACCAAGAGTCTTAGTACTAACATATCCCTGGCTCTTTTTTTGAATTTTTAATTTTGAGACAGGGTCTTACTAAATTGCTACTTCCCTAGCTGGGCTTAAATTTGTAATCCTTCTGCGTCAGCCTCTCAGAATTCTGGGATTACAAGTATGTGCCACCATCCCCAGTTTAGTTTCATCTATATTTTTTTCTTGTGCAGTGCTAAGCATTGGACTCAGGGCCTCATATATACTAGATAAGGGCTCTACCTATCATACCTATCATATATTTTTATTATATACTAACTTGCCTTGTATAGTTGGACTTGTTTCTGAGCTTTATACTGTGTGTGTGTGTGTGCATTTCTGAGAACTGAACCCATGAGTACTCTACCACTTTAAACTTTTTAATTTTTTAAACTTGAGACAGGGTCTTGCTAAATGACTGGTGAGACTTCAAGTTTTGATTTTCCTATCTCAGGCTTTCTCAGTGCTGGTGTTATTATAGGCTATGCCTGTTGGACATTACATTCTTTCATTGATTCTATTCCTCAACCTATAATACTGTATGCTGTTTTATTTATTTATTTATTTATTTATTTATTTATTTATTTATTTCAGTGGTAGAGTGTGAGGGTCTGAGTTTGAACCCTAGCACTAGAAAAAAGGCAGGGGGCAGGGAATCACACTATTCTAATGTAACTCACAAAAGTCTTTACTCCTTGCTTAACAATGCGTACAGCAACTTGTATGTATTCTCTCATTTTTTTTTTTTCTTTTTCTTTCTGATTTTGGTTTCGTTTTCTGAGACAGGGTCCCACTATGCAGCTAGTCCAGGCTGCTCATGAACGCACAGCAATCCTGCCTCAGCCTCCTGAGTACTGGGATTACAGGCATGT